TATTTATTTTCTTGAAATTAAATACACTACAATTAAAATTCTTCCTTTAAAACCTGAGTAATTCCTAGCATAAACCTTAATATTATAATGTATAAAAGGCATCATATACGAAGTCTTATTAGTTTTTATGATAAAAAATAATTAAAAATTTTATTTAAGAATTTAACAATATTTATAAAATGTAAATATTTATTTGATATCAAAAGGTGCATTCAAATTATCAATGAATATTTTACAAATATTCTATTTTGCTTCGATATCTATTGCAGAGTGCATTTGAGTAGATAGATAATCATCGATATCTATATCTAAATCATAATTCAAATCAGCACTTGCATCTTCTTGTGCTTTATTTTCTTGATCTAGTAATTTTTCTCACTCAGTAATATAATCATTAAATTTAGCAACATATTCATTTTTACCCATTTCATCAACCAATTCTTCTGACACATTTCCTTCATTAAATACTCGTTCTTCGATATCTTCACTTTTGAATTTATTATCAGAACTACTTAATTCAGTAAAGTTTGTATTATCTAATCAGTACTGATAGGAAATTGAGGCCTGAAGCTTGCTCATATTTAATGCTTTTTGAAACTATATATAAATCTATGAATTTGTACTAGAGGTTAGAACTGGTTTTAATAATTTGGGTTTATCATTTGAATTTTGTGATATTTTAGAAATTTATCCAATTAAATTTTAATAAATTCTAAAATATCACAAAATTCATGTGATAAACCAGAATTATTAAAACTGGTTCTAACCTCTAATTAGTACAAAATTATTTGATAATTGCATAATTATATTATACTTATATGTAATCGGACTTATCAATTAGTATAGAAAAAACCCATACAAGACTATAAACATTCTACTGAAGCTGCATTTACACAGATTCCAAATATTCTTTGTGCTACAAAAGCAAGTTCTTTTGCATCTGGTGTAGCCCAAGACCAAAATTGAAAAATTTCTTTTTTGAAGTGACTGATTGATTGTTCATCAAAAGGAAAATTAGCTCTTCAAAAATTTTCATATTCACGTAAAATTGATTTAAATTTATTATGTGACCAAGCTTCATAATAGTATATAAGCTATTTACTAAAATATACATGGTTAAGATTAGTTATGTTAGATTTGAATTTTGTCATTTGATATTCAGGATGAAGAAGCCAAGACAAAAGAAGGAGTGGTTGTTTCCATTCTTTCTACCTTGACTCTAATTGATCTAACATTCATTGTCCTAATTCTGAATCTTTATAACTTTTCCAAAATCTCATAAAATTTCCAAACTCATGTAAGACTTCATGTAGGCAAACTTTGTCATTTTGAAGAAGATCGTTGACAATACCATAAGATGTTAAAATATTAATAAGTTTTTGTAATACATGCCACTATCTTTCATTTAAAAGAATTAATACGAGATCTTGTGAAAGATACAGTGAATTATTATCTAATGGTTTATGGGGATCAAATTTTGATGCAAGCGTCTAACATTATTATAAAAAAAAACTTATATATGTAAGTATTAAAAATAATTAATATAAAATTAAATTATAATTTTTTATA